CCTTGTTGCTGCCTTTCCCTCCCCACTGCAGGACACACTGTAGGGCCTGCCTACACGAGCCCTTCTGAGCTCACAATGCAGCATGAACTTCAACCGCTGACCACTGAGCTCAGTCCTTTGAGTCTTCATTTCCCCTTTCATAGAGTCAGTGAGGAAATCTGTGGTGGAGAGGAAGTTCTTTCTACCTTTCACCAGCATCCTGAACTCTTCCATCACCATCCTTCAGGAGCGATTTATTATTGTCCACTTTACCTGAGCCTGTATCCTAAGTGAGTTTTCAGTCTCTCCACTCTATGACTTTACTAAGCTAACTGCCTCTCTCAGTCTTAGCCACTTCCTCTGTGGAAGTGAGTCAATAGCTCTGCTGTCTTCACAAAGTGGTTTTCAGGACCGAATCAGGCACCACGGATGAAGGCATGGTCCCTCTCAGAGCCTGCTGCATTGTGGAAATTCATAGCTGGTGAAGGACAAATAGTAATTATCACCAACACCTTGCTCCACCCAGCTAAAGCACCAGACTGCAAGCATCTTTGACCTCAATGTCTCCTCCCCAACACACCCACACTCACTATGTCTGGTGTAAGCTTTCTAAAAGGCCACTTGCAACCAGTCCCTTCCTCAGTAGTTCCTCGATTCCTGGAGATGAAGCTCCACCCTTTCCAGCAATGGCCTTGGATGGCCTCACCCCAATGTGGTCCCATTTCACTTCTCCCTACAAGGCCAAAACTTCTGTAGCTGTTCAGTTCCTCAAAGGACATGATGGATGCAGGTGGCCGCCCCTTCTTCCCTGAGGGCAGGATTCGGGGTACACTCCAGCACAAGCTGGTCCTGCAGACAAAATTACTTCAACACAAGCATCCCTTTTTCTCCTAATCCTGAACAGATATGAGGCTGAAGCTATGGCTCCAACAACTGCACAAGTCTATGTACTTGTTTTAGAAACAGACAAAGAAGGACCACTAAGTGAGTGCAAGGCCTGCTTACCAGAGGCTGATGGTGGAGGCTGCTCATTCTTCTGGGGGTTACTCACGGGCCGGGAGAGAGGCCGAGCAATGGCAGCTGACTGAGATTGCTTCTGCACAGGCTTCTGAGTGGAGACAAGCTTTTGTGCTTGTAAAGGAACTCGCTGGGAGGAATTTGAAGGACACAAGACTCGCTGAGCCTGACCACTGCTTGCAGATGAGGGAAACTGCTGAGCCACTGGAACACGTTTTGGACCATCCCCCAGTGGAGCTGTAGCCTAGGATGGGATGGAAAATAAACTTTATGTTCTTCATGAAAGAAAAGATGAATGTTATGAGAATTCTAGTTTCTTATGTAGGAATATCTTTGGAAACACATGGAAAGGGAAAGCTATTTTAATAAGTATTTCACAAAGATGTAGATAGCAGATCAAAGGAATACTTGAATGACATCTGCAAGCCCAATTCTCTATCCTAAAATCATGATCCGTAAGCAAATATTCATTGAATGAACTTCCATCCAATGAGGGAGACACTGAACATTTAAGATTTCTCAGCATATTGGGAATATACTCATCTGTTATTGATACTTTATACATCAAACCAACGCAATTCCAACCAACTTTCTTTGATAATACATGTTTAGAAAAAAAGACCAAAAGAATTGTGTCAATGTTCAACATTTTATTCTTCAGTGACAAAGTTTGGAAGATGGTCTAAGTTGAAACATAGGCAAGATTTTCACAATGAGGGTGGGGAAAAGATTTAAAAAGTCTATGCTGGGGTGAGCACCAACAGAAGGGAGAGAGCCAATGGGAAGGGTGAATGTGGTCCAAGTCTTTTATAAGCAAGTATGAAAATAGAACAATGAAACGTGCTGAATTAAGACAAGGGAGGTGAGCTGAAACAGTGGAGGAGGAATGATTGCCCACAATCCACTGTGTACACATCTGGAGCGGTCACAGTGAAAACCCCTTACACAACAAATCTATGCTTACAAAATTTTTATTTCAAATTTGAGGGGAGGGATGGGGTTGGAAGGGATGGGGGGAACGATAAAAGGGGTGATATTCATCAAAATGCATTGTACTCGTAAACTGACTTGTTGAATGGTACCCCTTTGTATAACTAAAAATAATATAATTTTTAAAAATGTTGCTGGGAAGGTGGCTCAGTGGTAGAGGGCTTGCCTTGCATGCCTGAGGCCCTGGGTTCGATTCCTCAGCACCACATAAGCAAAAAGAAAAAAACCGGAAGTGGCACTGTGGCTCAAGTGGTAGAGCACTAGCCTTGAGCTGAAGAGCTGAGGGACAGCACCCAGGCCCAGAGTTCAGGCCCCATGACCGGACCCAAAAAAACAAACAAAAATGTTAAGCACGCGCGCTTGCGCGCGCACGCACACACACACACACACATACACACACACACACCAAGAGTCTCATGGACATTCCAGCCCTCCATAAGACTCACCTCCAATTAACCACTAAAAAGCCAGAAAGTGGAGCTGTGGCTCAAGTGGCAAAGTGTCACCCTTATGTGAAAAAGTTCAAAGACAGTGGCCAGATATAGTTCAAGCCCCAGTTATCAATGTAAAAGAGGAAAAATTCCAAATATCAGACCAATCACCACATGTACTTTATAGATGTAAATGGAACTACAGACAATTCAATTACCTTAAAAGGTCCCGAAATGCAGTTTTCTTTAGATGTGTCCATAGTGCCTGAAAAGAAAAACAACCTTTAATACAAACAAATCCACCTGCTTCTAATCGTTGCTATGCTACTTGCATCTCCCTAATGAAAAGGTATCTGTGACTCACAGAATTCTGTATTCTTTAATGTGTTTTTCTTTCCTGATGTAGTAGATGCTGTGTGCATGCATGCAAGCAGGTCTTCCCCTTCCCATCCACACCCTCACATACTCTGCACTCCTGAACTGATGTGCACGTCCATTTGTCCCACAGTTGTAGGGGGTAGGACTAGGGATGTGGTAGATTCAGGCCCAGCGGCACTGACCCCCAAGGTGAGTTTGCCCCAGTCACCTGGCTTTCTCACCCACAGGCTGATGACTGCTAAATGTTCAACTGCAACCCAGATTTCTCTCAGCTCAAAACTTACATATATCACTTTTTAAAGACTTTCACTTAATATAATCACCTTGGATCATTTACAAGAATTCCTGAATGGTCACTTCACTTCCACCTTTGCTCATGGAGATCCCTTCTCAAACCTGAGGCGGTCCATTCTCAAACACTGAAAATGTGTTAATCCATGGTTTAATACCCCTACTGCTCACCAACTCAAACAACACAATTTGAACTCATCTGCAAGTCCCATAGACGATGGACCTTGAAACACCTCTGCCTTCATTTGTCTGCCACATACCATCCAAATCAAGTCCCCTGCCACCAGGACTTTGGACTTCCTGTTTCCTCTGCCTATCAGGCTGTTGGGGTGTAGCTCATTCATTTCATTCAGGTCTTTTTTCAATCAATATTCCCTCCCAGGACCATCTCTCCCTTTTCTGCACAGCCCTTAACATCTTAAAATCTTATGTGCATCTGTTTATTGTCTGTCTCCGGAGACTCGGATATCCTTCCCAGAAATAGGGAGCAAAAGACCAAAACCCAAATTGGTGGTGCCATAGAATCCATTCTTGTGACTCCCAGAACCTAGAACAAATGCCTAGTACATAACAGGACTCAGATAGTTTGGAAATGAACCAAGCCATTGACAAAGGAAACCAGTTAATATTATATCAATTAATATTATAAGGAGGCAGGCAGAAACACCTATCAAGTGAGTTGAACAAGCATCAAGAAAGCAGAAGAAATCAGGCTACTCAACTGCTTTTTGAATATTAGAGCCCAGCCACAAGGCATTCCCCACAATATCTCATTCTTTTTACAAATTAGTAATCTTATAAAGACCCCAGTCTTTAAACGGCTGATTAGTACAAACAATTAAAAGGAAACCCACGAGTGGCTTGGCAAATATTTTTCCCCCACCAATGTTCTAATGCTTTCTTCACTTTCCCTAACAATTCCAAGTAGCGGAGACTACGAAGATCACAGTATTGGGGCTTGAACTCAGGCTCGGGCGCTGTTCCCTCAGCCTTTCCGCTCCAGGTTGGCGCTCTACCACTTGAGCCACGCCTCCACTTCCGTGGAAAGTTCTTCGAAATGGCGACGCTCCACCCGCCCGGTCTTAATAAATCAGATCTTGCGTTTGAACAACCCTGTTCTGAGCACGCACTGGGGCGGAGTTACCAATCACCGGAGGCGCTCGTTAAGGACACCTGACCCCCCTCCCTACGAACTGGGATTTACCATCCGTTCACAACCAGTTTCCTCCCGATCCCAGATCCTCCCGCTCCGGGGCCGGGGCCGGGGCCGGGGCGGCCGGGGCCTGCGGCCCGGGCCCCACCACTCCCTCCCGCAGGCCGCACACCGCCGCCTCCCGGGCGACTCTGCGCGCCTCCCCGCAGCCCCCGCCACCGCAGCCCGTCCCCCTCAGCGTCCGCTGTCTCCTCACCTCACGAACCCGAGAACCCCAAGACCTCCACAGGCACCGAGAGGGTCACTGAAGGCGGAGCCCCGGCAGGAAGACCCCCCCCGCCCCAGCTCCCGCCACCGCCTGCGGTCTCCGCGGCACCCAACCGGGCGTCCCGGAGCCGGGGTGCTGGAGGGGGGGAGACGGCGGGGAGTGGGGGGCTGGGGACACCAGGGCCGGGGGGCCGACGGCCCGCTCCCCTCCGGCCTTCCGCCCGCGGCCCGCCGCCCAGCACGGCCGCCCCTCGTCCCAGGCTTCGCCCTCTGCCCGCCACACGGAGCCGGCCCCCGCTGACCTACCCGCCGGCCGGCTCCCACCTTCGGGCCAAGGCCGCCGAGTCCTCCGAGAGCTCAGCCGTTACAGTTTAAGGATTCTTCTTTTTAAATATGGGTTTAAACCCTCCGGTCTGAAAGCTGATTGGCCGGAGTTTCAGCGGAGCCGCTTTGTGATTGGTTCGCAACGAGCGTGCCGTGGCGCAAGCGCACTAACAACGAAGAGCCCGGAAGCGGTGGAGCCAACGGCCTGACAGGTCTATGGCGGTTCTAGAGCCTGCCGTGGTCTCCAGGAGTGGGCATTAGTCCTTGAAATAACAGTCCATTGGACTCAAGATTGTTGCATAGGAGATAAAGCCGGGGGTCGGTGAGCGAACGTCTTGAACGTGCCAGTAAGTAAAATGGCGAGAAGGGCAAGACCGAGCGGGACCGGTCGATAGCGCAGCACTCGACGTCGCGGCCTGGGCGCGTGCGCAGTGAATGTGCACGCAGAGCCATCGATCGGGCGGGATTCGCGCCTCCATTTTTTTAGAAGAGAGCCGGAGAGCCGGAGCCAGTGATCGCGATCAGAGGGTACGGACGGGGTCCGGGCATCGGGGAGGGGCGGTGCGGGGGACAGCTGGGACCCGCGGTGGGCCGCACGAGGCCCTGGGCCGTCCAGGGTCGCGCGTGGCGAGGCGTGTGCCCCGAGTCGGGGTCCCCCGGCGGGGCCTGCACGGCCCCTTCCTCCCGCTCCTCCTCCTCCGAGGCCACCGCCCGGCTCGTCCGCCTCGGCGGCCGGGTGCTGGAGGAGCGCACCGAGGCGCGCCCGCCCGGCCCTCCGCCCCGGGGTAACCGGCCCCGGGCGGGGGGCGCCCCGTCCTCGTGCCCCGCTGTCCTCCCGGCGAGTCCGGGGAGAAACCACCCCCCCGCCCGCCGAGCGGAAGTTCCGCGGGTCGCGCCGGGAGATCGACCGCTTTTCCCTTTTGAAAGTCTCCCTATCCCACCCTGCCGCCTCTCCCTGGGAGCGAGGACCGCCCAGAAGGGTGGTTAGGCCCCCGGCGCCCGAGCAGGCGGTCCTAGCGACCCCCTTAACCCTCACCCCGAATCCGTGGCCTAACTAACTTCCTTGAGTATCTGTTCTCTTGTAGATTTATGGTACATTTGTTTCTAAATACTCGAATACAGTAGCCGCGAGGTGAGGGTCTGGACGTGCGGGGCAGGCCCTCGCGCAGATAGGGAGGGCTTGGTAAATGATAGATGTTATTGATACCCCACGGTGAGGCCACTTTTCTATATTTCTGTCGCTTGACACCTGTAGCCCAGTATCTGGCCAAATACACCCTTCCAAATGCAAGGCCCTGAGTTCAAGTGCCACAGGGAAGGGGGCGCGCTAGGGAACGGATAATACCTGATCATCATCCTCAAACCAACTACCCAGGTCCACCCATTGGCATTCTTGTGGGCATAAACCAGAAATTCTCTCCAGTTTTCTGTTTCACTTTACTAGACTGAAAGAGAACTTGGATTCTCAAGTAAATCCATGTGCATGTCTCTGCAGAGTTGTCCTTTTCTTACCATCTCTATAGTCATTTTGGCCCTTTCTCACTTGGATGTAAGGTAACAGTGCTAGGGTTTGAACATGTCCTGCTTGCTAGGTCCTTTTCATACATTTTCTTTTTTTCTACCTTTTTTTTTTTTTGTCAATCATGAGGCCTGAACACTGGGCCCTGGCGCTGTCCCTCAACTCAAGGTTAGCACTCTACCACTTGAGCCACAGCGCCACTTCTGGCTTTTTCTGCTTATGTGGTGCTGAGGAATCGAACCCAGAGCCTCATTTGTGCGAGGCAAGCACTCTACTACTGAGCCACTTTCCCAGCTCTTCGTACATTTTCTTAACATAACTTCACTTTGAACCTTTCCAAAGTATTTAGCGGTTGAGTTTTCATAATACAGTAGCTTTTTGCATTCGTATTGACTAAGTTGAATGATTACAATAAGTTCAGTCGCTTGAAAACAGGTTTCACTGATGAACTTAACAGTCCCTGGTAAACATACAGCTCAGCTGGTGGAAACAGGAGCCAGCCATATAACAATAAGACAAGCTGTCTTGTCTGTTGCAAACACCAGTTGGTGTTTGTTTAAAAGAAGAAATGTAAGATTCAGGGCTAACAATAAAGAATAAAACTTGTGCAGCTGGATAGTTTGGCAGAGAAGAAAAGTTGATGTGGGGTTCTACTATAAACACGCTGACACTACTTGAATCATTTCAGCTCAGTGCTTTACACACACCATGTTGTTTAACCTCCAGAAATTTAACAGCTAAAGAACCTGGGCTAAGAACATGAGGTCACTAACCAAAGATGATGCAGCTAGTCTAGCTGGAATGTAAGTCTAACCAAAGACACCTGTGTTGCTTCAGATTTACTAGTTAGTGCCTCTGCCTTTCACTGTTTTTCACTTCCTTGTTTTCTCTCTGCCGCTGCCAGGGAAGTTGTCCTTTTCTCCAAGATGTACAGAACCAAAGTGGGCCTGAAGGACCGCCAGCAGCTCTACAAGCTGATCATCAGCCAGCTACTCTACGATGGCTACATCAGCATCGCCAATGGCCTCATCAACGAAGTCAAGCCTCAGTCAGTGTGTGCCCCCTCCGAGCAGCTCCTGCACCTCATCAAACTAGGTATCTTGTGAATGTCAGTGTGTGGACCCCATAAAGAACTTTTAGATCTGTCCACAAGATTATTCTTGTGTAGTTTTACTGTGTAATATGTGACAAGTACAACTCTAGCTACTGATGGATTAAATGAAGTCCAGGTAATAAAGACTTTAAGCTGTTCTAATGTGTTACCCATTTCTGGACCACTCTGCCATTATATTGCCTACTTCCTTCAAGTCTCAGCTCATCTGTTACCTGAGACTCCTCTTCACCTCTCAGACTAATCCCTTAAATTCTCTTGCTTTTTGTTAAATTGTAACAATTCTTGTCCAAGAGTCCCTTTATTGTTTGGGTTTCCTTAAAATCCTTAATCTTCCTGCCCTCCAAACCCCTCTTTCCTCACCAAAAATAAAAGACTACCTTGGTAATAAAGTGAGGTCCTTGTCTTGTTCAGTGGTGTATCCTTGTGCCTACCTTCCATTCAATAAAATACTGAATTACTGAACATGTTGATTTCCTTTGACTTGATGGTGCGAATCGTGATGATTTATCACAAGGGAATTGAAAGGTATAAACAAAAAAGCCCCACGATATGGAATTGGCTAAAAAATTTTAAATACCCATAAAATTGAACATAACTATGATAATGTGAACACAAAATCTGTGTGACGTGGCCAAGCCAGTCACAACTTGCTGCGCAGTAGCAGGTCTGCGTCCCTTTTGAAAACTAAGTTGTATGAATGGTAAGAGAGCCAGAAGGATTTGTGCCACAATGATAAAAAGTTATCTCTGGGTGATAAGACTCAAGGTCATATTTCTTTTCTTCTATATAGTTCTAATTTTTCCAGTGCTAGTAACTATTATTTGTGTTATATGTCAGGTTATTTTTTAACTTAAAGCATGATGTATTTTTAGATTAAGCATGATATTAATCTATTTCAACTTAACCATTTTTTCAAACATTTCACTAACGTTAAAGCATATTACTGAATTAATGAACTTCTGAGCTGCTAACAGAAGTCAACCTTAAAAATACTGAGATTTGGAGCCGGTTGCTGGTGGCTCATGCCTGCCATCCTAGCTACTTGGGAGGCTGAGAATGAGGATCATGGTTCAATGTCAGCCTAGGCAAAAATGGTCAAGAGACTCAGCCCACAGCTGGATACAGCTTCTCATACCTGTCATCCTAAGCTATGTGAGGGCTGAGATTGAGAAGATTTGCAGTTCCAGGCCAGCCTAGACAGACTCCATGTGAACAGAGGGAAGTTGAACACACTAGCACCTGCCTGTCATCCCAGCAACAATGGGAAGCCTATATTATGTATATACTGGTGGTCCAAGCAGGAAGCAAGATCCCATCCTAAAAATAAGTGAGAACTAGAGCTGGAGGTGTGGCTTAATAGTATCACACCAGCCTAGTAATCATAAGGCTCTGAGTTCAAATCCCAGTACTTCCAAAACACATATATATTTAAAATGGGGAAATAATAAAGAGTAAACTGCTTTTTGGTGGCAGTTAAAGTGGTAACTCAGGCTGTGTGTGCCCAACCTTCCATCAACCCTGGGTGGCCTGGGCAGAGTCTATAGTTTTGTACCATTTTAAGTGTGATAGACCTCAAAGGAATTGCAGATTGACACTGGTAAATATCTCCATTTTGGCCTTTACGCTATTTCCTCATGTTCTTGATTTTGATTTCTTTCAGGGATGGAAAACGACGACACAGCAGTCCAGTATGCAATTGGTCGTTCAGATACGGTTGCTCCTGGCACAGGCATAGACCTGGAATTCGATGCAGATGTCCAGACCATGTCCCCAGAGGCTTCTGAGTATGAGACGTGCTACGTCACATCCCATAAAGGACCCTGCCGTGTAGCAACCTACAGTAGAGATGGGCAGCTGATAGCCACTGGGTCTGCTGATGCTTCCATAAAGATACTTGACACAGAGAGAATGTTGGCCAAAAGTGCCATGCCAATAGAGGTAAAAAGCCTAGAATATAATAGCATTCTGTTGCTCATTGTGGAGAGTGTGTGTGGTATAGGCCAGTGATGGTTTACTGTAGTTCAAGATAGTATACTTTGTCTCCTCCTCTTGTTGGCCTAGGTCATGATGAACGAGACTGCACAGCAGAACATGGAAAACCACCCCGTGATTCGGACACTCTATGACCATGTGGATGAAGTCACATGTCTTGCTTTTCACCCAACAGAACAGATCTTGGCCTCTGGCTCAAGAGATTATACTCTCAAATTATTTGATTATTCCAAACCATCGGCAAAAAGAGCCTTCAAGTACATTCAGGTAAGAAATGTTTGGAAGGGGGCTTTTTGTTGTTGTTGTTGTTGTTTTTCATAAATGCTACTTTTTCTCAAGTAGTCTCAGTGATCATTGTATAAAACAAAAATAGAGCAAGGAGAATCCATTCAGATGGCACATGGACCAGCATGAGAAGTGTGTGCTGGCCACCTCTGGCTGCCAGAACAGCTGCTGAGCAGCTAGAGCTTGGCTGCAGTTCACTGGGACTGCTTCACGTCCACACCACTCCTTGAGATCCCATTATACACAAAACTGCTGCCTTCACCAAGAGCTCAATACAGGAAGAAAAACCACAGGATTACTAATAGTAGTGACCTCCAGCTGTCAGTAATTAAATGTAATTTTTTCCTCACTGCTTGCCGCAGGGAGCAACTTAAAGAGACTCTTCACATTTACAAGAGTGCATTATCAATGTAGGTAACAATAGATTGATAATCCATTAGTCGATTTCTAATCCATTCTGGATTCTCCCAGTATGCATTTACAAATGGAGCTCACTTCTGTAGTTTTTGAAGACTTAACCAGTAAATGCAGTTTTTCAAAATCTTTGCTATAAAGAAAAAGATACTTTTGTATATGACAGAAAGTACTTTTATTACATTGGGGTTTGGTGGTTTTGTTCTTCCGGTGCTTAAACTCAGGACCTGGGCACTGTCCCAATCTTTATTGCTTTACATTTGAACCACAGCTCTACTTCTGACTTTTTGGTGGTTAAATTGGAAAGCAGTCTGATGGACTTTGCTGCCTGGATAACCTCGAACCAAGATCCTCAGGTCTCAGCCTCCTGACTAGCTAGGATCATAGGCCCAAGCCACCAGTGCTTGGCTTTTATTCCTTCTGATATCTGTGTGATACTCAAGGGTTCTTTAATGGACTCTTTCGTCTGGTATTTTCTGCACTGCCTTGGGATCTTACTGTCTGCGGATTGGTCACTCAGGTTAATGTCTGTCATTTCAGGAAGCTGAAATGCTACGCTCCATCTCTTTCCATCCTTCTGGAGACTTTATACTGGTTGGAACTCAGCACCCTACTCTTCGACTTTATGATATCAACACCTTCCAATGCTTTGTCTCTTGCAATCCTCAAGATCAGCACACCGACGCCATTTGCTCCGTTAATTATAACCCCAGTGCCAATATGTATGTAACTGGCAGCAAGGACGGCTGTATCAAATTATGGGATGGAGTTTCAAATCGCTGCATCACCACCTTTGAGAAAGCACACGATGGTGCCGAAGTCTGCTCTGCCATTTTTTCCAAAAATTCTAAATACATTCTTTCAAGTGGAAAAGACTCTGTGGCTAAGCTTTGGGAAATATCCACAGGACGAACACTGGTCAGATACACGGGTATGTGAGAAACTGATTGCCATTTCTATCGCATTTTACCATTTCCAGAACTCCTCAGTCCCCCTTTCAGAGCAATACAGTAAATGTATGCACAGGGCAAGGCAGTTCTTTTTTTTTTTTTGGGTCCGGTCGTGGGGCCTGAACTCTGGGCCTGGGCGCTGTCCCTTAGCTCAAGGCTAGCGCTCTACCACTTGAGCCACAGCGCCACTTCCGGCTTTTCTCCTTTTGCTTATGTGGTGCTGAGGAATCAAACCCAGGGCCTCATGCATGCAAGGCAAGCACTCTACCACTGAGCCACCTTCCCAGCCCAAGGCAGTTCTTAATCCCTCTTTCAGAGCTAGAGGTCCAGCCTCGTGGCTGAGGTGGTAGCTTGGTGTAAAGTACTTTGCTAGCATATGAGAGGCCCCAGAATCCACCCCATACTCAAAAAAATAAAGTAACCATTTACTTAAGGTTGCAGTTAGTAAGAGGCAAAGCTGGGAATAAAATCATAGTTTCTTAACCCCACTCCTCTCAGTACAGTCTCAGCTAGAGAGATGCAGTCTGGAGACTATGCAGGGAACCTTGAGACTTGGCAGTCCATTGGTAGAACAGGCACTTGTCCTCTTCTTCCCATAGCAACGGGGACCCAAGCAGAGGAAAGCCTGTTAGTGGAACTCCATAATAGCATGTGTGGGGGCTTCTCCAGTGAGAGGGGGTAGGGGTCTTCCCCAAGTCCCCACCTGAGACCAGTGTCCTGAGCCCAGATTGGAAGTGAGCTCAGCAGACAGAACAGCTCGAATTCTCAATAATTCCTGCTGGTCTCTCCGGCAGTATGTGTGCCAAGGAGCTCCTTTTGTGGTGAATCTGTTCAGCTTTCCTATTACTTGGCATAAGGATTCAAGTCCGTTGAGATAATAAGTATTGTTAAAGTATTTCTTACTCTTCTTTTCCATAGCAGCAAAGGCTGTTGTCTGGTGAGAAACCTCCAGGGAGCTTCTACTGTTTTTCTCTTGTGAGCAATGTTTGCGTTGTACACTAAGATCACCATAGCTCAGAAAACTCAAGACACTTGGTGTGGGGGCGGGGGGGGGGGGGGAACCTCTACTATCTGGAGGTAGAACAGCAGTGCTGGTGACATCTGAGCCACTAGGGTGCAGCATCGCCTACCTAGATGTGTCTCCAGTACAGCCTGCAAGTCTGCAGAGAGCCACTCTTGTCCTAGTTCTTGAAATGAACTGTACGTGGACTGCAGAGAAAAGATGCTGGTGGGAGCAGAGGAAACATGTCCCACTGTGCTTCACCCAAGAGCAGTGGATGCAGGCGATGCCTTGTGGCACGTGGTAACTGAATGGAGAACTGCCAGTTTGGGTGTTCCAAAGGGGATTTGTATGCAAATTCCTTTCTTTTTCGGGAGCAGTACACTCAACATTTGGAGCTGTTGAAAGTTAGGAACAATGTAAATGACCATCAGGAAGCTTGAATAAATCTGTTGTGCAGAGAGCCTTTAGAAGTATATATCTGGGGGCTGGGAAGGTGGCTCAGTGGTAGAGCGCTTGCCTTGCATGCATGAGGCCCTGGGTTCCATTCCTCAGCATCACATAAGCAGAAAAAGCCGGAAGTGGTGCTGTGGCTCAAGTGGTAGAGCGCTAGCCTTGAGCTGAAAGCTGAGGGTCAGCGCGTAGGCCCGGAGTTGAAGCCCCATGACCAAAAAAAAAAAAAAGTAAATGCCTGCTGGATACTAGTCTCGCATTGTAGTCCTACCTCCTAAGGAGGCTGAGACCTGGAGAATCACAGTTAAAGTCAGCCTAGGCAGAAAAGTCCTCAAGGCTTCATTTCTGATGACTCAGTAGAGAGCTAACCTAGAATCCGGCTCAAGCAGTAGAGCACCAGCCAAGCCTGAGTGCTGGCCCTGAGTTGAACCCCTGGTACCAAAACAGTTACAGAAATGAAGACTCACTGGGGCCAGATATAGTAGCACATGCCTGAAATCGCAGGTTTGCAAAGGTAAAGGTAGAAGAATTACAGTCTTAAGGCCAGCCCAGACAGAAGCCAGGCATTATCATTAAGCAAGAAGGGCTGGAGTCATGAATCAAGTGGTAAATTATCAAGACCCTTAGTCAAACCCCAAGTACTACCAAATACATGAATACTTTATGTCATAGGAACAGGTTTGTGAACATTATGTGTTTTGCCCAAGGTGACGTCACTAATTAGAGCCGAGCTGGCCTCTGCCTCAGCTAAAGCTTCTGTTTCCATCCGTTGAGCTGTATTCATTCCTTCTCACATGAGAAGCGTGGGGCCTCTGCTCTGATTTCAGACACTGATAATGAGTTTAGTGCCCAGAGAAGTGGAAGAGTGACCGACCACCATAGCAAGGGCAGCCCAGCCAGGGGTCATTTCCCACCCAGATGGAGAGGAAATAGAGAGACGGGACAGAACCAAACCAGCGTTTGGCTTCTGCACCCCAGAAAGCAATTCAGTCCTGTCCTCCCAACAACGGGGCTACTCACTTTCCATTGAGTATTTTACGTAGTCATGAGAGGATAAAGATTCCTTTTGGAAAGCAAATTTTCATGCACCAGTAATTCTGTTGCTAGGAGTTTAATCCTAAGGAAATAGAGATCTGTACATGGGATGTTTTTCCAGCCCTGTTCATCCTGGCTGGAAATAAATGTCTAGCTGTGAAAGAACTGTCTTGGTTCTTTTTTTTGGGGGGGGGGGTCCGGTCGTGGGGCCTGAACTCTGGGCCTGGGTGCTGTCCCTCAGCTCTTCAGCTCAAGGCTAGCGCTCTACCACCTGAGCCACAGCACCACTTCTGGCTTTTTTTCTTTTTGCTTATGTGGTGCTGAGGAATCGAATCCAGGGCCTCAGGCATGCAAGGCGAGCGCTCTACCACTGAGCCAACTTCCCAGCCCCTGTCTTGGTTCTTCTAAACATGAGATACTTTGCAACTATGAAAAAATGTGACCAATATAAAGTCAGTTTTTACTAAAGAAGATAGACGATGCAGCACCAGCTCTATTTTATTTGTTTAATTTGTTTGGGTTCTTGTTTTTGTTTTTGTTTTGGTGCCAGTACTGGAGCTCGAACTCAGGGCCTGGGTGCTATCCCTGAGAGTTTTTGTTCAAGGCTGGTGCTCTACCACTTAGGCCACAGCACCACTTCCAGCTTTTTCTGAATAATTTATTGGAGATGTCTCACGGACTTTTCTGCCCAGGTTAGCTTCAAACCATGCTCCTCAGAACACAGCCTCCGGAGTAGTTAGGATTGATTATAGGTGTGAGCCAACAGCACCTGGCCTGGCTCTCTCTTTTTTTTTTTTTTTTAAAGGCTGTTTTTTCAGCCCAGGGAGTAAGAACACCACCAGGACATCCAGAGGGTGGCGATGATGGCTTCATTCTCGGGCCCTTCACGGCTTGGTTTCTGTTGCAGGCGCGGGCCTGAGCGGCAGGCAGGTGCACCGGACACAGGCCGTCTTTAACCACACGGAGGACTACGTGCTGCTACCGGATGAAAGGACCATCAGCCTGTGCTGCTGGGACTCGAGGACGGCCGAGCGCCGGAACCTGCTCTCGCTGGGCCACAACAACATCGTGCGCTGCATCGTGCACTCACCCACCAACCCGGGCTTCATGACCTGCAGCGACGACTTCAGAGCCCGGTTCTGGTACCGGAGGTCCACCACCGACTGAGCCAGGCAGACCTGGCCATGGGGCTCATGTCTGAGGACTCCGCCCTCCTCCCGGGGCCTGCCACCAGTGCCAGTAGGAAGCTATGCCACCCGTGGCTTGTGCTGTGCCACGGTGTACATCCTACTGGGATTTGGACAAAAGAATCTTTTTTGGCCTTGATGTAGAATCATGGTGGAAAAGGTTGGAAACCCAGATCTGTGCATTTCTCCACTCACTGATGATTACAGTGTGATTTTTACTGGTTTTGTAAATGCAGGACTTGCCGATTCATTGATCTTGCGCATTTCGAGGAGAGAGTATTAAAGTGCTTTCTAGGGTTCAGGTGAGTCTAGCGTGAGAACTTCGGCTTGGTTCTCGGCCACCCCCAAGCCTATTCTGCGACCCCTCTCTGTATTTCCTTTCCAGATACATTGTGACAGGTGAGTAGCTGCGGCGTGAGGACCTAGAGTGTTGTGCCATGTTGAACCACTTTGAGAACCTCTCATCCTTCTGACAATAAAGCTCAGATCTGCAACTTTAGTGTTCTCTATGTTCACCGGTCCGCAGGACTGCGTCTGTTCCCACCCTCACCCCACCCCTGCAGCGCTGGGGTGCGGGTCCTCAGAAAGTGCCTAGCCAGTACAGTGATTCATGATCTGATGGCAACCATCATGAAAAATGAGTCTGATTCAGACAGAAATGGGAGCCTGTGTTTTGTCTTTATGAGGGCTTGCTCTGTTAGCTGGCTCTGTTTGTCAGTAATCTCCACTCTCTTTTCCATACTCTTAAGCATGTTAGTGTCTCCTTGCAGAGGCCACAGGAGCTACAGCCCTGGAAGATTAAGACAATTAACAATCCAATACAAGGTTTCTTTATCCTGAAATTTTTTCGAGGATGACAGCACTTCTCTGGATTCTGTTCTCTCTCTGAGAGAACCATACACTCTTCTCTTACTATGTCTTGCTATTTATTCCAAAAATCAAATACCTCATGAGCCAGTAGAAGTACCTAGAAGTAGGACCTGGGAACAGCTGGAATTATAGTAAATAGATCAAAATAAAAGTAATTGCTGTCACAGGAACTTCCTGCCTAAAAGTTCTGCTTCAGTCATTGTCCCTTGGCCAGTAAAGACCTTACATGTTCTCCGTGTGTTAAGGCCCAGGGTTCTGGGTCAGCCTTCCAGAGAGCTGTGTTTTTGATCCATGATGAGTGTGAATTTAGTTTTATTTTGCATCCTGATTTCCCACTACTTGAACTTGGCCATCTGGAGGTGCTGTGTGTGTGTGTGTGTACACGTGAGTGCACCCAATCCTGGGGCTTGAACTCAGGGCCTGTGTGCTGCTGTCCCTGAGCTTTTTTTTTTTTTTTTGCTCGACTGTCGTTCTACCACTTGAGACAGCTCCACTTCTGGCTTTTTGGTGGTTACTTGGAGGTAGAAGAAGTCTCAAGGACTTTCCTGCCTGGGCTGGCTTGGAACCATGTTCCTCACATCTCAGTCTCTTGAGTAGCTAGGATTACAGATGTGATCACTGGCACTCAGCTGGGAGGTACTATTTTTAGATTAAAAGACTGCTACTGAATAGGAACAGGGGTAACCAGTTCTTAATAATAATATTAAAAAAGCTAAATTATCAGGCAAAACTCCCCACTTCTTTTTCTGACTTCCTTGTTGCCTTTAGCCTGTGAACGCACCATCTGCCATGTCTGTTTCTCCGCTCTGCCTCACGTACTGAAGGGACAGCCCTGCGTGCCCGTGGCTCCACTGGGTCTTTGCATTGATCGTGCCGGTTTTTGCGCCAGTCTCTGGAGTGGTTCTGTAGCATCAGGAACTAAACTGACAGGATCAAGAACTTCGGTGTTTTTGAAACAATTTCCTTTCTTCTTTGCTTGTAAAAGTGATAATGTTTTGAGTTGGTGTAAATGCCAAGAGTGTCTGTATGGACTTGGTGTTCTCACCACAGTAATGGTGCCAGCATTCAGTGATGGATAGTCTCCAGTCAGAACGAGATTTACACCTTCACACCTGTGATTGCTAAAATAAACTTTTGTATGTAATGGCCATTTAAAGTCAGTCCTTTTTTTTTGGAACGTGAATTTTCCCGTGTTTGCACAGATGCAATGAGTGCTTTTCGCACTTTCCCCTGTGCCTGTTCTAGAAGTCACAGTTGTCAATCGCCTTACTGTGTCTGCTCTCCTCTCTGAATTTAAGCAGCTTGTGTATGATTCAGTTTCTCTAGATCGTTGAGAGCGAACTCTTCTGTCTTGCACTGGGTTTCTTTAGGCAAGGTGTCGTGGGGGTTGGGGGAAGGGTGCCGTCTCAGCTCTGTCACTGACTTGGTGTGCTCCCGCAAACCATATGTCTTCTGGCATACAGTGTCCTCTGCTTAAAGGCCTGGCTCTTCCCGACACAGACTGGCTTGAAGCAGGAAAAGCCACCTGCTCTGAAGCGGGAGGCTTCATTGTCTGAACACACAGCAGACCTAGCAGACCAGGTCCTCTGAGAGTCCTTTCAGTATCCACCTGACTAGAAAGCCGGGGAAATCCTGAGAGGCAAGCACAGGAGGACAAATGCAGAGGGCTAACAGTGCTGGAGCCCACAGCCACCCCAAGGACAGGTGTCCGCTCCTTGTGGCCTAATGGTTTTTGAGCAGAAAGCTCTTGTGGGGGCTGGAGGGTTTGGTCAAGACCCAGAAAGCCTAGAAGTCTCAAGTCCCCCCCCCCCCGTATTGGGGAGGGGGTGGAAGGTGGCGTAGAGGACAGAAGCTCATAGGCTGTCCCCCAACAACTCATAATCTAAACTGCTTAGGGAATGTCAAGTCGAAATTTAAAAGCCGTCGGCAATCAATAGTGGCCCAAGTGACTTCGAGAAACCAACACAAATTCCCTGAGGAAGAACACACCTGAACCCCTCAGTCATCTTCCCAGATGGTACTTGGGGGGGTGAGGGGCGGTGGACAGGGGTGGCATGAATGCCGAGTATAGGTATGAAGAAGCCCCTGCTATGAGAAGCAGCAGAAGCAATACGTGAGCTTTGCAGGGAAGCCCAACAAGTGTGCAGGAGACACACCCGCCTTCCTGCACCTCCTGAGCTCAGCTGATCGGCCTCTAAGCTCAGGAAGACATTGGGTCCCAAGAGCTGTCTGAGCAAACCCCCCCGTCCCCCCCCCCACACCCCAACATTAAGATCCTCACTAGGACCTCCCTGATTTGGTTCTCAGACTCTGTTACTGCCTTCAGCCAGACATTTCGAAAGGACCAGTTTCCTGGAATGTTCTGCTCTTGCAATATCTGTTCATGTAAGACTTGTCCACTGAAAGACAAATGCATTTCGTCAAGGTGTCTTAAAGCAGTCTCAAACCACAAAATACTATCCCAGCTTTCTGTGTGGGAGTCAGACTAATTTCAGGCCCCGGTTCTAGCACTTTGAGTCTTAGTTTCCTCTTCTAGCCTAGATTGAGCTCTCTAGAAACATCATAAATTAGAGCGCCAGAATCTATGGTATATTTGAGGGCCAGCCCTACCTTGTTAAGGAAAGTCACTGACAAGCTTGCCGAGGTGATGGGAACCATCTGAACTTGAGTGAGCATGGCGCCTCTCAGACTGAAATCTAGCTATGTGTCTTCACTCGGATCTTGAGCAGATTTGCCTCTCTCAGACTGAAGTCTAGCCATGTGGCTTCACTCTGATCTTGAGCAGATTTGTCCTTCCTTACAATTTTTTTTTTTTTTTTTACCAGTCCTAGGGCTTGAATTCTGGGCCTGGGCACTGTCCCTGAGCTTTTGCCCAAGGCTAGCACTCTACCACTTGAACCACAGCACCACTTGCAGCTTCTTCTGCTTATGTGGTACTGAGGAATCGAACCCAAGGCTTCATGCATGTTAGGCAAGCATAATACCACTAAGCCACATTCCCTGCCCCTTTAAAAATTTTAAGTCTTACTATGTAGACCAGGCCAGCCTTGAACTCCATCCTCCTCCCTCCACCTCTCAAAGTACGCCATCACACCTGGATTCCATTTAACTTTTTTATTATAGATCATTTCAAATGTGTGTAGAAGTCAATAATACAACAGACAGTGGCTGCTGAGACCTGGGGAGGGGAAAGAGGGGTGACTGCTGAGGGGTTTCTATTGGGTATAATGAAAGTGCTTTGAAATTAGATTGTGATGATAGTTACACTGAAGTGTACACTTTTAAAGGGTGAGTTTTATGGCACTTGAATTAGACTCAAGTACCCATGGTTTACATCTCTAGTCCTAGCTACCCAAAGAAGCTGAGATCTGCAGATCATAGCTTAAAGCTAGCCCCTGGAAGGAAAATTGGTAAGACTTGTCTCCAATTAACTACCCTCAAAAAAAACTGAAGTGGAGCTGTGACTCAAATGGTAGAGCACTAGCCTTGAGTAAAAGAGTTCAGGGACAGCCTCCAGGCCCTGAGTTCAAGGCCCAGGACCAGCACACAAAAAAGAAAAAGAAACATGTCTATAGTACCATGAAGCCCAGTGCTCCCATCACAGGCTCTCCAGCCTCCATTGTGACCAGCCTTGATCTGCCTGAGCCTCTCTGCTGCGTGTCTTTGCTAGAAGTCAGCTGTATTTTATCTATAAATGTTTCAGTATATGTATCAGAAAGGCAGGGGCTTTTAAGGACTCAATCATAACATCATTATACCTGCAAACACTAAGGTTAATTACGGATTAGATTGGCAGCTTAGACTGAGTTGCTTGGGGCCTGCTTGGGGAACACCTGGGACTGAACTCCTCAGAGATATTCGTTAACACGGTCACATACCCATTCAATGTTTGGATTCCCATATGGGTGATTAGTTTGTTCTGATGTAGTATCTAAGCAAGAGCCACCCCCTGTATTTCTTCTTCATATTCTGTGTCTTTTTCTTCCCTTTGGAGTTTTATTCATCAAAGAAAGTAGATGTGGCCAAATAAACATCCCCTCCCAGCTCCTTGTCAATAGCTGGCTTGTAAGGCTGCCCTGGGGTTACAGGAGGCAGTGTGGCACGAGGTTAGATCTGAACCTGGCACTGTAGACGCTTAGAGGTTGGTCTTCAGGCCCTGTCTGGTCCTGATGCTCTCCAGTTCTTTTTCTCAGCCCAGCCTGTGGAGGGGGAGGGGGGTCATTTCCTGGTAGACCCATGGAGGCAGAGCTGTCCACCAAGAGAGCCTGGCCTGTCACCCGCCCTCTTCCTTGGAGTACCTCAGAGGACACAAGACCCTTTCTCCCCTGTTGCCAAGATAATCCGGGCTGGGAGTGCTGGCTGGCCCTCACTTCCCTGCCTGGGCTACGTGCACAGCCCAGTGCCACCTTCAACCCACTCTGGTTTAGCAGCTTCTCCAGGTGCTAAAAGAACTTCAACCACAAGAGAAAGGGGGTGCTGAGGGCGCAGAAACAGGACGTGTAGCCAGGCAGCATTGCTGTAACACTTGTGCAGTATAGCGACTATTGGGATCGCATCCTCCTGGTCGTTATCTAATCTAGAACCAGAAGGTATTCAGCACGTTGAGAGGACCGTGTTGAGCACCGTGCACAATGCTGAGGAGGTATCAGTGGCCCCCACACGCCAGGTTCTGGATCAGTGTTATTCATTACAAAGTGCATGTGTGTGTACGCTGGTACTGGGGCTGGGCACTGTCCCTTAGCTTTTTTATTCAGGGCTGGCATTCTACTACTTGAGCCACAGTCCCATTTTTTGGTGGTGAGTTGGAGATAAGCCAGCTTGGGCTGGCTTTGAACTGCAACCCTCAGATCTCAGCCTCCTAAGAAGCTAGGCTTACAGGCCTGAGCTACTGGCACCTGGCTGAGTACTTTCAGCTCTTTAGAACAAGAGACAGGTTTGTTTGGGGGATCTTTTGTGTGTGGTGGGGTTAGCGGGAGGGAAAGGTTTCCCTGGCCCCAGAGCTCCCTCCTTTCCCTGTTCTAATCTCTCCCTTCCCCCTCCTCCCTCATGGGGTGCTCCATCTCCCCACTGCCTGCACAGGACTGTAGCACATGAAGGAAGACCCCTCAGAAAACCCCAACACCAGACTTGGGGCTCAAACACCGCATTTGTCAGCCTGGGGGTACCCACTGTGTGCCTTGCAGCCATGCTGTTGGAGTGAAATCTCAAATCCTAAAGAATTTGGGGGCTCAGCTGTCAGTCAAAGCAGCGCTTCATAATTCACTGCGCTTCCATCCATAGCTGCTGGTTTTCCTCACGAGGAACATGTTCATTTTCACCCCTTTTCCCGGCTCATGCTTGTTCACGCTGTAATAGAAGAAGCTTCACCTCCACACTCATTCACCTCTGCATTTCCATGCCTTGCCTTCCCTAAATGACTCTGTACGTTCTGTGGAGTCAGCACCCCCACTACCATCCACCCAACAGTGATAACCCTCAAAGTTAAGTTTAAACAAAGGGAGCATTTTAAGGTATGGAGTGCCTGGGCCAGCAATGAACTATTTCACATGGTAAATGCATTCAGATGCTCCAATGCAGGGCCCAGTCACACAGGAAAACCAGAAGTCAAGAAGTAACTGTAGGGCTGGGAAGGTGGCTCAGTGGTAGAGTGCTTGCCTTGCATGCATGAGGCCCTGAGTTCGATTCCTCAGCACCACATAAACAGAAAAAGCTGGAAGTGGCACTGTGCTCAAGTGGTAGAGCACTAGCCTTGAGCTGAAGAGCTGAGGGACAGCGCCCAGGCCCAGAGTTCAGGCCCTGTGGATTAAAAAAAAAGGTAAATGTATATAATGGTGAGAGGAGAGTGCGAAGAGATGGAGCTACCAGACATAAAAATGCACAACATCTGCCCTACTATGTCTGTATGATAGTGGTGGATTGAAAGAACATTCTAGACCTGGCAAGTCAGGAAGCACTGTGAGCTAGTGTGGTAACTTCAAGGACAGGCGATGATGGGTGGGTTGTTGGATTCCAGCCATAACAAGTATGCCTGGTTCAGTGTGTTCAGGGCCTGGCTCCCTGTGCGACAGAGGCAGATCCCAGGAAGCGGGAAGGAAGAAACGCTGACCGCCATCAGAAATTGGGCCAGTTGGCCTCATCATGGAAAGGAGTTGGCAGTGGTTCAAGAGACAAGAATGTTCTATGCCCCTGAACTGGGCTGTTCAAAGCAGGAACTTGTGCTTCAAAGCAGAAGAGGGTGGTTTTGTTTTTTTTATTTCCTTTTGTGGTTTCTCCTAGCAAATGAGTGGCAGTCTCTGCTTACAGACTAGCACTACGTCAGGCATGGAGTGAGTGTGGCCTATATCTCTGTTTCCCCTCCTCTCACCCTGTCATTTTACTTTTACCATGCTTTCCAGAAAGTTTGCCTCCTGGGAGAAGGCTCTTGACAGGTTCCTATGCGCTGTCAGATCACTGCCTGGTCCCAGCTTCTGAGAAGCCGCTAGAGCGTGCGGTGACTTGGCCATTCTGTCTCTGGAGCTGGAGAAGGAGTCAGGTAGCTGGAAGGAGCCATTTCCCACCAGGAGCATGCGGGGATCTGGCCTCAGGGATGGCCTGCCCAAGGTGAGCAACCGGCTGTGCGTGGGGTGAGGATTTGACTGGCTCTGGTTCTGGGTTTTCCAAGGAAGGCGAAGAATGGATTCTGAGAGGTTGGAGATGGTAAATATCTGTGCTGCAAAGCACTTTACCAGTTGGCTGGATAGGACAGTGATCAGCTGGATGATCGGCCGCACAATTGCTTTGGGTGTGTAGTCTCTGTCCAGCTCCTGAAGCCAGATGTGGATCTGTCCTGCCCCCCCCCCCACCTCTTCTCCTGGACCCTGAAGGCACTCAGTGTGGCTCAGATAACCTAGCTGATTCTGTTGATCTCTCTACCTCCCTCTGAGGCCAGTGAGGGCGTCCTTGTGCTGTCTTACCTTGTCTTGTGTTGGAGGAAAGCCGAACGCTCCTTCACACTACCCATCTGTGCCAGAGACCAAAGAATAGGATCTACTTCGAAAAGCAGCATGGAGCTAGGTGCCAGTGGTTCATGCCTATAATCCTAGCTACTCAGGAGAGTGACACCTGAAAGGTGAGGTTAAAAGCCAGCCTAGGAAGGAAAGTTGGTGAACCTCTTATCTCTAATGAACCACCCAAAAGCCAAAAGTGGAGCTGTGGCTCAAGGGGCAGAGCACTAGCCTTGGGGAAAAAAAGTTCAGGGACAGTGCCCAGGCCCTCGGTTCAAGGCCCAGAACTGGCACAAAGAAAAAGGAGGGAAGGAAGGAAGGAAGGAAGGGAGGGAGGGAGGGAGGGAGGGAGGGAGGGAGGAAGGGAGAGGAAGGAAGGGAGGGAAGGGAAGAAGCAATAGAAAGAAGCCAGGCAATGTGGCTACCTTCCCATCCCAAGGGTCCTTATATCCAAGTTAGGTGAGGCTCAACGTTGAAGCTCCTTTATCCTGCCTCACTTAGAAATTTTAAGTAGAGCCGGGCGCTGGTGGCTCATGCCTGTAATCCTAGCTACTCAGGAGGCTGAGATCTGAGGATCGCAGTTCAAAGCCAGCCTGGGCAGGAGAGACCGTGAGACTCCTATCTCCAATAAACCACCAGAAAACTGGAAGTGGCGCTGTAGCTCAAGTGGTAGAGCGCTCGCCTTGAGCTGAAGAGCTGAGGGACAGTGCCCAGGCCCAGAGTTCAAGCCCCACAACCGACAAAAAAAAAAGAAATTTTAAGTAGAACAGGAAAATAAAAATAGAAATGAAACCATGACAAGTGGAGGGCTGTTTACAAGAACTCAGTGGATTGTTTACTGTTGCCATAGTGATCATTCTTGTCGGGGTACAATTGACAGCTGAGTAACCCATGCTACGAGCTCCCGTCCATTACGTGAAAACATCCAGGCTACCTGAGAGCTTTGTCCACAATTTGGAAAGTGGGAAACGGGAAACTTGTGGAATTTCCGTGTCTCTTGCTTCTGGACCTGTCAACGCCTGGCACTTCGTGCTACTTAGGCCATCGCTGAGTGTAAATTTAAAGCTGGGCACGAACTTTGCTGGTTTAAAAACAAAGGTTAAATGGAAAGAGGCATCTCACCAAAATGCTAGACCCTGAGCATCGAGAGTCTAGCATTTAGATACCGAGTCTAGACCCTGAGCATCGAGAGTCTAGCATTTAGACACCGAGTCTAGACACTGAGCATCGAGAGTCTAGCATTTAGACACCGAGTCTAGACACTGAGCATCGAGAGTCTAGCATTTAGACACCGAGTCTAGACACTGAGCATCAAGAGTCTAGCATTTAGTGTCCCCATCTCAGCTCTGTCAGAATGCGTGACTCCGGTCTCACTTCAGGAGGTTCAGATACAGAATTAGACCAGAAAACACCGACATTGTCCAGGCTGGCGTAAAGGTGACAGCATGGCCACTGGCTGGCCGTGGCTACTCACTTCAGATCTCTGGGTGAGAGTCCTTACTGAGGCCTCAGTTGGGAGTGGGGAGCAACTTGGGGTGCAGTGGGGACCTCCATATGCCCCGAGGTGTAATCAGGATGTGGCAAACTGGCTGGCTGGTGAAGAGGACAGATGGGACCCACGCAGAAAGCCAGGCCCCATCGGGCTTCCTCAGGGGCTCTGGAGCCTGGGCTCCCTCCCGGTCCCCCGCTGAGCCCTGTCTTCACTCTCACCTTCCCAGCCCAGTCTGCCCCGTGTGTTCTCCACTGGGCAAACTCACCACTGTCTCACGCTGGTCTGTCCGTGGCCATCACCTGTGGGCTCAGGCTCCACGCTGGCGACCGGGGCTGGCTTCTCCAGCACTGTGCCTGCTGCCTACAGCAGTGTGTACACTCAGTAGGAGCTCATTAAATGCCTGGTGGGAGGATGTGGAGGTCCCATGGAGGGAAAGTCGAGCTCTTACAACCCAGCATCACCACAAGCACAGGATGCAGCTTCCTGGCTGTGGGGGTTCTGGGACCCAAGGTCAGCTAGTCCCAGCTCTCTAGCCCCACTTGATCCCACCCGACCTGCACTCCACCTGCGATCTGGCTCCTCCTCCCATGGTCAGCGGGTGCTTCAGAGCTCAGCCATTGTGATCCAAGTCAAGGTCAACACCTGGTGGCCTCTCTCCTCTTTCCCACTTGCCAACAACTTCTCGAAGTTCTCTCTTGCTAGGTGCTAGTGGTTCACAGCTATAATCTAGCTAGGCAGGAAGCTGAGATCTGAAGATCATGGTTCAAAGCCAGCTCAGGGAAGGAAAGTCTGTGAAACTCTTACCTTTGATTAACTATTCAGAAAAAGCTAGAAATGGTACTGTGGCTCAAGTGATAGCCTTGAGCAAAAAAAGCTCATGGACAGGGCTTGGGTCCTGAGTTCAAGACCCAGGACCAAAAAAATAATCTCTCTTTCTTAAAAGGCAAAACAGCCCAAAGACAGCACACAGTTTGAAAATACAACCAACCCATTGTTCAGCCTCTCACCCAACAGAGTTCACAAGGTGAACTGGGGACTCAGGGTGACAAAGACAGAGCTGACACTGCAGAGGAGACAGAATGACAGACAGCAAGCAGATGCACAGACATGGTGATACGCTTGACATAAAGAGAACAAAACAGGTGATGGACACATCAGGCCACTCTCGAGATGCGATGGCTGGAAGAACTTTCCAGGCAGAGGAAGAGACAAGTGCAAAGGCCCTGTGGTGGGATTGAGTTCTTCAAAAGGCTGGGGTGACGGGAGCAGAGTCAATGAGGGGAAGGAATGGTAGGCCGGACCACACTGCCCAGCCTGCGGGGAAGGCTGTGTAGTACTTTGCAGAGGAAATCATCGGTTCTCGTAAACCAGAACACTCAGGACAGTTGATAGCAGGATGCTAAGCACAGACTGCTTAGTGGGAGAGGGCATGCTAGAGAGAAGCAAGGGCAGAATTCACTCTGCATCATGAAAAAAAAAGCCCTTTTGGTGTTTAAGACGGTTGGAGTCTAAACAGAAGGAAGAGTAAACAAAAGCCTACGTAGCTTTAGTTTAACTGGGCATGCTAGGTCCTGTGTGAGAAGACAATGCACTCCTCTGTGCCAGTAGTGGGATTTGAACTCTGGATCTCATGCTTTCTGAGCTTGCTCTCCGGGCTGGCGCTCTACCACTTGAGCCATACCTCCATCCTGGCTTTTCATCCGTTAATTGGAGATGAAGGTGCACAGACATTTCTTCCCAGATTGGCTTTGAGCCACAATCCTCTGGACCTCAGAATCCTGAGCAGTTAGGATTACAGACATGAGCACCTATCTGGGTATCCAGCTACCATGTACTCTTACTCATTCAACAAACACCAAGTGCCTTCTCCGTGCTCAGCACTATTCTAAATGCCACAGAAAAATGCCTGGCTTCTTCCTCAATATCTAACAACTCATCATTGCACAATCACCATTCCCTGCCTGATAGCCTTTATTCTCTGAGCGTTTTATTTCCTCTGGAGCACGCTTTAAACATGGGGAGAGGGGAGGGCTCGAGAGAATGCCCCTTCTATCCCAATAAGCAACTTCCAACCGCAGGGTCCGCTTGATAATGCAACATGCCATCGCCGTTTTGGAATTCGGGTGACTAAGGCAGGAAATGACAAGAGACTGGAGGGGAAGTAATTTAGAAAAGGAAGAAGGTGGAGGCCGGTGAGAACGATGTCGCTAAGGGAGATTACTCTCCAACATGACTTGCACAAAGGGGAACTGACTTTTGGGGGGACAGGCTCCCACCATGAGTGGACATGAACTATTTGCTTACAGGGGAGAGGTGTCTTGAGTGACACCAAGAGGCCAGAGTGCCACCCTGGGATGGGTAGGGTGGGGGTGGAATTATTCCCAGAAGAATGTCTGTGCATAAGTAAAGTCTTGTTTGTCTTCCCTGAAGTCCTGCCTCCCCTTGGGATGGAGAGCAGCCTGCTGGTGGTTTTGTACCTGTTCTTGTCGGCCAGGCTGCTGGTCTTTTGAAGGAAGTCAAGGAAGGAAAGAGCGCAGTAGGCTCCCTCTCCCTGGGAGACAGTTGCCTCCTGTATAACAAGAGAAAAGCGCTTTGTGGAATATTTGCTTTGAGTTCAGCATTTAAACAAGCACCAACTCAAGAGGAATAAATACCAGAATCAGTAACTGATAGCAGATATTTCGGGGCACTCCCTTCCTGAGGAGAGGGGACTAGCAGCCCCTCTGGTATAACAGAGCAGTAGCGTGAGCCATCTTGTAGCCTCCTCTGAACCAAGAGGAAAATCAAAGACTAGGGTAGGTTGATCTATGGCCTCTTATTGACAATAGAACTAATAAATCTAATGAAATTCACACCAACAGAAGAAAGAGGAGAAACACTTGAATTATACCAATGCTTTGTCTGCCACATCTCTCTACAACCCAGAGGGGGGAGGGGGGACAAAAAACAGAGAATTCAGGACTAAGCCCCAGCCTCACTCACCTTTTGGTGATACATTAACTGGCTTGAACCAGCCTTGAATTCTTTGTTGATCAAACAGACCTGACCTCTGCTATACCAGATGGCCTTGGGTGTGGCACTCACATGAAACTTCATACACATGTATGTATGTGTGTGTATAAATT